AATTGCCGGTCTACACCGCAGAAGAGAGGACGGTCGAATTCACCATCAACGTTAACGAGACAAAAGAGCTTCCGGAAGGACCCTGATTATAGGCTTAACTCTCCATATAATAATCTACCAAGTAGGGTTTTGAGGTCGCCTACACCAAGCAGGAGATTTAACGGAGACAACAACAATAAGAACTATAGAGGATTATTGGTCCCAAGGTGAATGCACTCAACTCAGTTTCTTCCTCTCAAAGAAGGGAAAATTTCAGGGTTTCGAGTCCCAAGAAGCTCAACAGCCATGATCCAAGTACTCCATTGAAGCCTTGTTTAAGAAATAGAGAGACTTTGGTTCACCGAATTAGTTCGAAAATTGACGAAACTGCGCTGAGAGCAGCGCTGTCATAGCAGCAAGAAAGTGAATAGGTTACTATGGAGGAGGACATTGACAATCCTCTTATTTCATTGGATTGCTTCATTTTTCTGTAGATAAATTAGTACTGAACATGTATCATGCTCATTCATACACTTACTTTTTTGTTTGTTTGTTTGTTTTGAAGTCTCTTCATTGCATTTCAAGATTGTTTCTCACAAACATGATCAACGAATCATATCTCTAGAAAATTTATATGCTGAGATGTATTGATTTTCTGAAATTTCTTTTTTATTTAAGATGCATGGAAGGCTTTGATTGGTTCATACATATGCTTAGATTTTAAGATGAATTTACTCTAATTATTCGATTTCCAACAACGGCTACTGTATAATGTGGCAGGAATGAATATGTTTCTGATTTAATAAGTCAAGCTGCCACCAACTTGAAAGGCCGTTTTTGCTTGCTTAAAATAAAAAATAGGAAAAATATAAGTGGTAAAATTAATTGGTTATTTTTAATAAAATTAAATATAAACATATAAATCTATGATAAACTTGGTTGTACTTAAGAAAGCATCGACATACAGAAGAGTAAAATCTGATGGGTTGTGGACTATTATAACGGATACAAGGCAATAAGAAATCAAATTATTGTATTAATAATAAGTTTGGATTACCATACATAGAATTGTTCTTGTTTGATGGAAGTGCTAATTTCGAAATGTTAAAAATCAAGTTACAGTGGAAGCAGGATGTGCATTTGTGAAGAGTTACAGTGGAAGAACTTGAGAGAACGGTAAACAACTACCAAAAAAGTAGATTTGAATACTTTTTTGAAGACCTGTATGACTCGCAATCGTGTAACAGTCGCACCAACCATGACGGTTCTACTAGCATCTCCGTGTAGGCATTACAGCATTAAACACCAAGTCAGATTTGAATGTTGTTAAATACTTTTCATTTTTGTGTTTGTACAACACACTAGACCCAAAAGAAAAAACCCTTGTAATTCTCGCATTACCTTTTATTAGTATGTTTTCATGTTTATCTTACAATTCATTAATGAGACACTCCCCATGGGGTCCATAATATCTTCCCTGAGATATTGCAAGGGAAATAGAAGTTATATAAAAGACAAACGACCAAGACGTCCACTAAATTATCATTACTATCCTAATAAAAAGTTACATAAAAAACGACCGAGACTTTGAGTCCACTGGTCTTTCCAAGCCCCACTTAAATTTACACGTGTCTTTGAATATGACTTCAGTATTCTACACAGTCGTATGGGTATATGAATATGACTTCATTATTCGTAGTAAAAAAAGTATGAAGCAAAGAGTCTACATTGTAATAAACATCAGTACTGTACCAATATGACCATTTAAAGATGGATCGAGGGGTATTAGGTATGATTGTATTTTTTTAAAAATTTTAAATTTATACATAGTTTGTATTATTTTATCGATGATCTAATTTCATACTACAAAAATTTTGTAGTTTTACCTTCTGAAGTTTCTAATATAATTCTGTAAGTTTGTTAATTGCTGTCTTTGACTTCATTGTTCTACACCATCCTATGGGTTATGTTAATTAGTTAATATGACTGATGCTTCATAATTCATTGGCTCTGAATCTTGGCCCATGCAAATCCTATAAATTAGTAATCATCCTATATACATCCGCCAGAGAGGGAAAACAAGAAGAGTGAATAATGGCCCGTTGTTGTATGATAAAGGAGCTTGCTCTGTTTGCAGTTATGTTAAGAGTCGTAGCAACTTCAGTGGCGGCTGCGGGAATATGAGCATCCCATTCCCATTTGGAACCGGCGGTAGCGATTGTAATATCAGTAGAAGCTTCTTCATTCGTTGTAACACCACCTTGAACCCTCCAAAAGAGTTCTTAACCACCAGTGAGATTGAAGTTGTCCTCATCTCTCTCGATGGCTATTTGCGCATCAATCAGTGCATAGGTTACCACTGTTACAACTCGACCGGCCGTAGTTCGTATTTCGAAGATTGGATGTACCTTGTGAAATTCCCCATATCTCACACCAGAAACATGTTCACAGCCATTGGTTGTGATACCTATGCTTACGTACAGGATCATCTGGGAGATAACCGGATGTTTAACGTTTTGTAACAACATCGCCGATGTGATTAACGGGTCTTGCTCCGGCATCGGATGCTGGCAGACGGCTATCCCTAAAGGAGTGAAGAGTTATCACGTAACGTTTGGTAGCTCTAACCATCATTCCAATATATTGGGCTTCAATCCTTGCAGCTATGGGTTTGTTCTGGAAGATGGAGCCTATAACTTCTCTGTTTGGGATCTCTACAGTGATGGTTTCAAAGACAAGAAATTCCCGATGATACTTGATTGGACAATCGGGAATCAAACGTGCAGGGAAGCTAAAATGGATGCACAAAATTATGCTTGCAAGTAAAATAGTGATTGTATTGATGCAGAAAATGGTCCTGGATATTTATGCAAGTGTCTTGATGGTTTTCAGGGTATCCCTTATCTCTCCAACTGCTGCCAAGGTATATACATCAGATTTTTCATTTCTTTACATATGTATGTATTTATGTATGCATATATTGATCATATAAAATGTTTGGAGATGGAGATGTGTAGATATTGATGAATGCGAGACACTAAAGCCTTGCCGTGGAAGTGCAACATGTCATAATACAGCTGGGAGCTATAGCTGTTCATGCCCCGAAGGGTTCGAGGGTGATGGTTGGAAAAACGGAACAGGTTGCAGTCTTCAAGCCAAGCCGCGCCGTGAGAGTTTTCCCATCCTTGTTGTTTCACTTGGTTAGTACCAATGTTTTTTTTTCACACCAGACTATTAGAAAAAATCTCAAATTTCCAAAAATCCCAACTAATAATCGTCAACAATGCTTTTTTGTCTCGTAATTACAGGAATAGGCAAAGTCTTCTATCCTCGCTCTTGTGTTCCTCATGGGTGTATTTGGGGATCAAGCAAAGAAAGCTCACCAAACTGAAACAGCAAAACTTTGAGCAAAATGGTGGAATCTTGTTGCGTGAACACCTTTCACAGTATGGCGAAACAGCTAAAATCTTTACAGTCGAACAACTCAAGAAGGCCACCAACAACAACCACGAAAGTAGAATCCTTGGACAAGGAAGTCAGGGTACTGTTTACAAAGGAACATTGCCCGATGGTCGTAACATCGCCATTAAAAAGTCCATCATCGGAGATCAAAGCCAGTTCCAACACTCCATCAAGGAAGACATCGTGTTATCCCAAATCAACCATAGAAACGTGGTCAAACTCTTGGGTTGTTGTTTGGAGTCGCGAGTCCCTTTGCTGGTCTATGAGTATGTAAGAAATGGAACCCTCTTCCATCACTTGCACAATGCCTCGGTCATGCCATGGGAAGCTCGTTTGAAAACAGCCATAGAAGCCGCAGAAGCTCTTTCCTATTTGCACTCTTCTGCATCATGTCAAGTTGACCGACATCCTTTTAGATGAGAACTACAATGCCAAAGTATCTGATTTCGGTGCTTCGAGATTGGTCCCTTCAAATAAAGAACAGATAACAACGCTTGTGAAGGGAACACTGGGATACTTGGATCCTGACTCCCGAGTACTTTCAAACGAGTCAATTGACTGAGAAGAGTGATGTGTATAGCTTTGGGGTCGTTCTCAGAGATTTACTAACAGGTTTGGAAGCGATTTGTTTTGAAAGACCTGAGCCTGAGAGGAATCTGTCTTTGTACTTCGTTTCTGTTATGAAAAAGGAAGGGTTGGCAGAAATTCTTGATGGACGAATGGTGAACGATGACAACATTCAGCAGCTTAAAGAAGTGGCAGCTATAGCTAGGAGATGCGTGAGACTGAAGGGAGAGGAAAGGCCAAGTATGAAGGAAGTTGTGTCTGAATTACAAGGACTGCTGGCTATGGAGAAACATTCAAGGGGAAAAGGCAACTTACACGAGGAAGAGAGTACAATTGCTTGATGCGTATGACAGTGGCATTGGCTCAACTACCATCTCTACGGGGCCTCATAGCATGAAAAACCAAGTCCCGTTCAAAATCTACGGAGCACGATGATTCTCCTTTTGGTTATAAAATGAGTAAGGGAAGCTATATCAGTTGTCTGGTCTTCATATATGTCTTCTCTTCTCCTCTCATTCTGTTGTGAAAGATGTAATCTTATTAGCCAACTTAATGTGTTTGTATAACAAATTGGCTCCAATAAAATTAGAGTAATAGCTCCCTTTATAATCTCTTGGTTTTCACAATAAAAAAAAAATCTTTTGGATTCAATTGTTACTACTGGTTTTGGCACTTCAATGGGTTTATAATTGCAGACATAATCAACTAAATAATCAATTTCAAAAATTATATTTTTAAACGGCAATATTTGGTAAAAACACCAATTCTCCATTCCATTCATTCTCGGGCAAAGAAAAGATAACGAAAAAAGGTACAAAAAACACAAAAGCTGCACAACACCAACTTCAAAGTATGACAATCGTTAGCATCGAATCATATGCAAGATCAAACTGACGAAATGATATTGATTATATGCAAAATATATTAATATATCCCACGAGCAGTTTGTCTCAAACTGAACCGATAAACAGCAAAGAAAACCCATCAGCAATGTGTAAACGCATGTTTATTTAATAACATGAAACCTCGCAATCTAATACAAAACCTGATAATATCTAATAACTGTTCACAAGCTGTACCATCCAAAACCAAGCTGACTATCATAGACGATCAAAATGACCTGTTATTGTTGGGGCTTGGATGATGAAGATGACTTGGCTTTGGCAAAATCAATCAGGTCTTTGAAGAGAGCATCTTCTGGTTTTACTTCTTTTGTTGGAGTTGCCGAGTTAAGGGAGAGATTTTGAGTTTGTCCAACCAAGCTGTCATAAGAGGAACCAGACCCGTTACTGGAATTAGAAGAACCGCCAGGATAACCATGTTGGTGCTTAAAGAATTGCTGTCTCTGATTAAACTTTGAAGGTGGAGGTGGAATGTTTTTCGCAGGAGTGTCCCAGGGTGCTGGAGGTAGCAACTCAGCATCAGTGGAGTAGCTCAAGGAAGCGGGTTTGTCATATACAGGATGTCCGCTGAACAGGGGTGAGGAACCGGAGTCACCAGAATGGTAAGGTGATGATGGAGCTAGAGGGTTGGTGTGTGTACGAGTGCGAACGGAATGAGGTGCTGGTTCTCTTGTTTCAGGGGAATTCTCAGTTTTGTAGGTATCACCACTAAGGTAATCAACCATGCTAGCATTTGTAGCAAGATCAACTCGACCAGGCTCACTTTTAAGTGCTTTCCTGCCCTGTCCTTGAGAATTATCCCTTGAAGATCTGAAATAAGGGACACTAAATTTAAATCAAAAGCTAAAAAATGGCACAGACAAGAAATAAGGAGCCTTGTCAATAAACAATGACCCAATACTCAAATCTTGAAAACCTACATTCAAAGCAGTAATTATGCATGTTTAACAAGGTGGGTTCATTTTAGAGAATAAAGACAAGACAAAGCTGCTACACTTTCATCCATACAATACGGTCAGGTGCCCATAGTTCATTTATAAATAAAACATTCCTCTCATGAAAACAAAAAATCCAATGAATATCAGGGAATGCAACACATGAACACAATATGGTTAAATGTTCATAGTTCATTTTCACGTGCCGAGTAGATGAATTCAACTAGTAGAATTTCTTGGAGTGTTTCATGGTTTAGAAGTGCAAGGCTAAAAATCCATTGCAGATCAGGAAATGCAACACATGAACACAATATGGTTTAAGTGTAAATAGTTCATTTCATGAGCTAAAAGATGAATTTCAACAGGTAGAAAATTTCTTTAGTGTTTTTCATGTTTTCAAAGTGCAAGGATAATCTGGTGGCTAGAAAATTTTTATAGTAAATTAGCAGAAATATGTTAAAAAGCAAACAGAGAATGGAGTGAGGAAGAAAAACACAATAAAGTCACCTATGAGATAGCTGAGCAAATTCATCTTCCGACTCATCATCCTCATGGTTGATATTAACAAACGGCACAACAGGAGTTTCTGCTACTGCTCCTGCTCCTGCTGGAACAGTATTTCCTTTCAGAATGTCATCGTGCAGGGAAAGAACGCGCTGCAAGCTGTCATTTAGTGTTAATCCCTGAAGAAGAAGTTCCTCGTCTCTGAAAATGCAAAAGCAATCATCAGCATTATTCTAACACGAGAGAAAACTAAAGACACAAACAGATTCTCACGTGGTATTATTAACAAGAAGCATCACACGCTTTTGGTAAGAACGACATTGATCAACAAGGTCGACAATGACTTCTTGCTTCACAGCCTGCATAACATCAATGCAAGGTTTGGTCACAAGGGTCTTAACACAAGGAAAAACTTAATTATTACATCCATCAGGATTATAAGTATTATTAATTTAATCACCTTGCATGCTTAGGATTGTTCAGTTATAAACTATTATCACATGAGAACACGTAATGAAGCTCAGAAAAAGTATTGATCCTACTGACAGACAAATGCACAGTGCAAAAAGGAGACCAGAACATAAACTAATGAGATTATTCAATAAGTTCCATAATACAGTAAATTTAGTAAAACAAAGGGAACCCGTCTAAGAGGCTGCAGCAGGTGTAGAGGAACCCAAATTGAATATAGGACCTCATGAAAAGTAAAAACCTAATACTTAATAGATGTGGTATAACACCACTTAACGCTCCCCAAATGTGTAGCTAAACAAGGATAGGCAGGAACAACAGAACACACCTGAGCTCAGACAGCACATTCATCCATCTTAAAAACAATTTGTGCTAGGCAAAAGCAGCTTGAATATAAGACCATAGAAACCCAATGCTTAAGTAGATGTGGGATAATACCACTTAACAAGAAAGCGTGGATAACTCGGATTCAATTGAACTTGAGGAACTAATCATAATGAAAGGCAGAAAAAGTGGTAACACACCTGAGCTCAGACAGCACATTCATCCATCTTAAAAACAACTTGTTCTAGGCAAAAGCGTCTTGAATATAAGACCATAGAAACCCAATGCTTAAGTAGATGTGGGATAATACCTCTTAACAAGAAAGCGTGGATAACTATGATTCAATTGAACTTGAGGAACTAATCATAATGAAAGGCAGAAAAAGTGGGAAGAACCAAACCAAAACAGTACTGCAGCAACAGAATTAAGAAAGCACATTGCTCAAGTGAAACAGGAAAAGTGGATTAATGAAGTCAATCCCATATAATAAGACAGAATAACTTTTAGAGAAATAAGAAATAATCTCCCCCTGAAATAAATACAAAAAACAAAGAAGAAAATGAAAGCACTATGTTTATCAGCAATCAGATAATGATAATATTAGAGCAGCATAGACCATGTGACAAGCATAATGATGCATTTCAGGGCAATGCTTTTACCTCAGGAGTCTTTGGATCCAATGCACTAAGCATTTCCATGAATAAATCTGCTAGCCCACTAGCATTTTGAATCTCTGGCAAGCTGGAAAAGCACAAGGTTAAATACAATTTCGTGATGACATAAATAATGCAGGTCTATGCAGGAAGTTTACATGTCAGCAGGACAGGTAGAAGAAAGATGCGGCACTGTATCTTTGCAGTGGTTTTTTCTATCATTGCAGTGCGTTAAATCCAGTAATTTTCTAACTCCAACTATCTGGAACAATTCACTAATGAGCTTAACTATTAATGAAGAAACTGATATTTACAAAAAAGCTTTCAGAAAATGCCCTGCACCAGTTTGAGTTATTAAAGAAAATAAGTTCACACATGATAGATATTGAGACCTAGCAGAGCAAATCTTAAAGATTAAAATTTAGCATACAGTACACAAATGAAGAATTACTATTTATTCATCATTTTCAATTTATATCTGAGCAAAGAGAATAGAAAAGTAACCCAAGCAAAATGTTATGATTTTTGCAGGCACCTAAAACAAATCTTCTTTTTTTGAATCTAATTGACTTTTGAACAAAGAAGCAAATATCCTAAAGTAACTCATTGGAGGAATAGTTTCACAATACTTGCCCCGTCAAAAATATTTGTGTAAAAGAAAACTATGGGATCCACAACTAGAAAATAGCATATTTAGCAAATGTAGTACCTGAGGCCAGAAGCATCGGATTGTAGAGAGGCCTCAATAGCAGCAGCATCATATTCTGAAGCAGGGTGGTGAGTTATGGGATGAGTCTGAGGTGGTGTAAATAATGGTACAGTGTTCTCTTCTCGAGGAGGAAATTCAACTCCCGCAGCCTGATAATACCAAAAAAGAGATCTCCAAGAAACAGATATGGATAGATATACTTGAGAGAACACTAGGGCAGAATGTTTTGACTTTTTCAAACCAGCAAATGCAACAAATGATTTTTAGTACTGAAAGGCCTAAGAAATCAATATACAAATTTACATCACCAAAATTGCTCCAAGCAACCTCGGAAGAAAAGGGGAAAAGATGGAAATTGTAATCAGTGGAAAAGGCCAGGATTATACAATCATAAGTAATGATGATACTTTCTGCTAGATCTCCTAAGGCACATTAGAACATTTACCTGTAGCTCATTATATGCAGCAAAATATTGAGGATACTTTCCACTAGATCCTCCAAAAGCTTCTTGCCATGCGTCTATCAAAATAAGTATCTTTTCTCTAACATTCAAGTCAGGCTGCACAATAAACCAGAAGGAAGAATACAAGCAGTAAGTGCCAGAAAGGGGAAACTAGCAAGAAAAATCATCAAATTTTAGAGGAAACTAAGTCACCTTTTTCTTTACTATTTTAACCATTTCACGCAAGATATCACGCTCAACAATCTGCTGAAAAACATGCTCATCACAATTTTTGCTGAGAGAATCCAGTACCTGAACCAAGATATGAGATACATGATATCTTATTACCTCTTTATCATCATGCACCACTGTTTTGGGGGGGGAGGATAGTACTAAGTTAATAGTTACTTGAGATATGATTAAAGTAAATCACTAAGAACCAACTTATATATGTTATTACACCATAAAAGTAGATTTCAGTAAAATATTTAAAAAAAAAAGCAATATGCATATATGAAATATGAAAATGGGGAGAAACATGTAACTCACAAAAAGAGCTAGTAGCTGTATTTTTGGATTTTTACTGCCCAGCCGCTTCTTGAGGATTTTCAACGCATCGTTAGCCTGCCTACATTAGAAAAATGAAGAATGACAATCAAATAAGCTAGGGTCCACCATGCATCATGGATTGTGAATAAGAGGCTAGGAAGTTATAACAAAGCAAGCAATGAATTAAATCCAATAATGGGAATGCGGAAACCATGCAACTTTCATAACAGATGGTGCTTCTGGTCTATTGGAACCTTGGAACACAAATTCATACTTCAGACAATTAAATAGATGAAACTAATGTACACCTTGTATTCCATATCGTCAGACCATATCTTTCTTCTATTTCAAACATTTTTCACCCATATTCAGACTTCAAATCCTTCAATGCTTTCATAGTAAAAGGGATAAGTACAACCCCAAGAAATTACCCAGTTATATATATATACCAAACAATATACTTCCAAGAAAATTCAGAATAGTAGGGCTGTAGCATCCTGAATTATATTGAGTCAAGTGTACACTCTAACTGAGTGTCTGTCATAATGTTTCACTCGCAGACATTTCAAAATTTTCACTTAATCAATCAAACTAAAAGGAATCCAGGAGTAAAGTACAAGCATGCATGTGCTTTAAAACTCTTCCTTTGTCAATGCAACAGCACATCCAAGATTCAGAAAATTCTCTCCTTCCACTCACTCTTGGTAAATAAATCTTGCATACTTCAAATATACAATTTTCCCCCCTTCAACTATCTCCCCCTTTAAAACTCTTGAAAAAATCAAGTCATGACAATTTGCCTCTAGTTGTAGAGCCAAGCTACCTTTTCCAAATTTGGAAAGCCTATTTCTTATATACATCAGTGGCGGAGTAAATCATGTTAACCAAGCAATCTCCACCGGAACTCCACCTCTTTCCTTATTGAAGAACACCTGAATCATAGAGAAGTGTCCCATCTAAAGATATATTATACCATTCAAAGATGGACGGGGTCACAAATTTTGCCTAGAACAATTTAATAGAGATTCGGCAAACAAAGCTTACAAGTTTGAGAATTCTTAAAGTACCCACATTGCAGAATTCATTGTTACCATATGTAGAAATACTTGTGCTTCCGAGTAAATCAAACAACAATTCAAAAATAACAATAATACAAAAATAACAATAATAGGTACTAGAATGCATTAGAGAACGGAAATTAGAAAAAGTACAGCAAAAAGGTCACCAGACAAATAGAAAGAATGATATACCCTGGATCCATGTTTATAATGTCGCATAGCTCAATGTTCAGAGCCCAATCTGGACCGATCAGCATATCATCGGTTGCCCTCTCAGCACATGCTGCGGCGCTATGAGCCATGTTATCAGTCTCTCTTATAAGGTTATAAATCCCTGTTTATTGTATAAGCCCAGCCTACAGAAAAAATCAATCATAAAACCAGAAATATCATGAATTTGATGGGAAAAAGAATTATGAGTCTAACTAAAATAATACAAGATCAGAGACATTGACAGGTAAGCGCTCATCAAATCAGCTCTAGAGCATGACATCAATAATCCCAATTTCGCAACTAAAATAAACTATGGCAACTCCGCTTAAGAATGCTAATAATAACAAATTATAGGGTACCAAGAAGTCAATCCCTAAAATTACCTATGTATCCTTAAATGCCGCACTCATAGAGGAAAAAAAAAACAAGGACGGTAATCAAGAACCCATAAAGGAGATCAATGAGTTTGATAGTAATTACAGTAAAATAATAATCGTGAATAACATTACCTATGTATCCTTAAATGCCGCACTCATAGAGGAAAAAAAACAAAAAAAACAAGGACGGTAATCAAGAACCCATAAAGGAGATCAATGAGTTTGATAGTAATTACAGTAAAATAATAATCGTGAATAACATTACCTTGCACCAAGTGATCAAACTAATAAAACCCACTTCACCTCCCAGAAAATAAAATAAAAAAAGAATGAATGAATCCTCAAGGGTTTAGGATTGAGGATTTTTCCTAACAAAATAGAAGAAGGGAAGAGATTGTCTTTGTAGTATGCTTAATCTTGTCTGCTCTTTCTGTCTGACGTCGGTGAAGACCTTCGCTTTTGTTTTCAAAGCTTTGTTTATTTATATTTTTTCCTCTCTTTTTTTCTTTCTTTCAATTCTGGCTTTTGCGTCAGCCATTGGGTAGTTAATCAATATAATCAAATTGGACTTTTTCTTCTTCTTTTTTAATTTCAGATTTGGGGAAAAAGAAAAAGAATAATGGAGTGAGGCTTAGGCTGAATTTTCTATGGTTTCATATCTTTGACCTAAAAAAATTATTTATGACAACCGGTGATGATGGTTTGGGTGACCAAACGATTATATTAAAAAATTATCTTCTCATTAATCTATGCTTTAGTAGAAAATTAGCTTAAATAGATCACATATTTTTGTTTTTATATAAAGGAAAATAAATTAAAATTCACATATTTTATTTTATTTTATTTGGGTCAGCAATTTTGATTGCCACGAAAAGTAGTTAAAATACTATTTTCTAGCATTTTTTATTTTAACATATGAGATATTTGATGTTCTACAACTACATATATCTTATTAATACATTTAAAAGATAATATATTATATAAATAAATGTGATTATAAGATAGTGTATGTTTTACAGATTTTCAATTATTTGACAATAAAAGTCCAACATCTTTATACTCTCTTGGATTCGGATATAAGACCTCTAAAAATAGCAACCATTGATTTAATCACTGAGATAGATTTACGCCTACGAAATACAAATATAATTTAGATGCATAATCTTTTAACAAACTTATGACATCAGTAATTCATATTAATGTTTAAAAAAAACCTCAAAATATATATCCAAAGAGATTATTCTTAAGTTTAGCTAATAAAAATGGTTTTTTAGTTATCGTGTTCGTGTTTCAAAACTATTATTAGTATTAATTATAATAATAAATACATATATGTTAACAAAACCAGTAAACGTGGAATCATTAAATTAAATTTTAATTTGGACGGCTTGAGGTTCATTTTTTTCCCATCATTTTTGTTGTATTCATCTAAGAATCTTTAAGTTTAAACAAACTATTTTTTTTATTGTAATCATGAAGTGTCTTTCATCTTTTATATACATATGGTTATTTAAACATCAATTTTTTTTTATAAATTTCTATTGATTAAAAGAGAAGATAGAATCAAATTTAAAATTAATTTAATGAAAGATATTTCAGAATCGATAATAAATATTAAATTTCAACCTGCTATTTCTTTTTCTATTTGTTTTATAATAATGACTTATAGGATTTTATATTATTTTTTTATCATTATTCTGAAATGTGTTGTTTTCGGACTCTCATAACTGAATTCAAATAAGAGAAAGAATAATACCCTTTTGATTTTCCTCTTATACTTTTATTGCCTTTTTTTTCTTTCCCTGAAAATGGATGATGGCTAGATTTCTATAGATGGGCCTAGGCCCAAGCTCATCAACTTAACAATCTTCAAATACCCAAGAAAACAAACAATTCGTACGGAAAATGTGGAGGGGGGGAAAATGAAATTGCACCAGCCGGGAATCGAACCCGGGTCTGTACCGTGGCAGGGTACTATTCTACCACTAGACCACTGGTGCTTTGTTGGAAGTCAATTGAAACAAATAGTATAAATATAAATCTTTTTAAAGCTTCTTTTATTCATGAAAGTAAACTATAAACATAATAAAATTTTAAATTTAATATTAGATTGTAAAAAATTAACATTATAATAATTTTTAAAATAAACTAAGAATTTTGCTGATAAAATTTCAATTACTCATAAAGTTATAGATTCATGTACGTTTTAATCGTTATCCTCTCTCTCTCTCTCTCTCTAAATTTTAAAATTCACCGGTAGAAAAATTAACATGAACATATTATATAACTACTACGTGCATTTTAGTGGTTTTGTAAAATATAATAAAAAGTGAATCTTAAATTTACATATCAATGTTAGCCAAATATACAATATGATATATACATTTTAATTATGATAAATATAGATAGAAATTTAAATTTAATCTAATCATATACATAAAATTTTGACTTTAATTACATTTAAGTTAACCAACAATCAATTGTTCTAGTAAGATGAGACATTAGGTCCCTTAAATAAAGTTAGGAGTTTGAATATTAACGTTTGTGAATGGGGTTGAATGGAACAAACTGAATTGAGAGGGTCGCATCCATAATAGACCTTTGAAAATCCGATCCTAATAATTGATTAATAGGTTTAATATCCCTAAAAAAATAATATATTTACTATTCATATTAAATAAATAAAATTATTTTTATTCAATTTATAAACAAAAAATAATTTAAATAAATAGTAAGTTAAATAAAAAATTATATATACAATTACATAACATTAAAGCAAAAAATCACAGATAACTTTAAAATTTGTTTCATATAAAATGATTTGTATTAATTTGTTTCAAAATCACTTTCTCCATTCCTTTTGAAACAAATTACAGGTATGCTTGTTTGACGTAAAATAAATTATAGAATTGGCTTTCCTCGAAATTTCGTGTTTGTTTCATGTTATTCGTTTTTCGGAAAATGTTTTCCCGCGTTTGTTTCATGTAATTCGTTTTTCGAAAAATATTTTCCAGTGTTTGGTTGGAGGAAAACCGGTTTGTCCACGTAATTCATTTTCCTGGTCAACAGAGTTTCCTTTGGGTTTTCTGGAAAATGACTTACGGTTTGATTTTCCGTAAGTCATTTTCCGAACTTTTCACTTCAAAGAATAAATACTTAAAATAATTTTTTTTATGAATTTAATATTAATAAATTATTTTAATATCATTTTCATTAAAATATTAATTATTAAAATATTTAAAATATATTTATTAATATTTATAATAATATAATATAATATTTTTAATATTATAATAAAATAATAAATTATATTATAATAATATAAGATATTATATTTTTATTTTAATAAATATATATATATATATATATATATATATATTTATATATTTAACAATGAATAATATTATTTATATATTTAATATTAATATAATAATCTAATAATATTTTAATAAAGATATTTAAAATATACTAATTATTTTTAAAATATAATATAACACTATTACTTTAATAAATTATTAATATACTTTATAATATTTTTATTTCACTAAAATATAACAATATTAATATTTTTATTAATAGAATTATAAAAATAATATTTAATAATAAATAAATTATTTTAATATTTTAAAATAATAATATTAAGTTTTATGATAAATAATATTATTTATTATATTTAATATTTGTAATAAATAATTTTTAAAAAAACTCATCAACTAATGGAAATTTTTTTTAAATAATATCTTCTAAACATCATAAAACATTTTCCAGATGTTTTTCAAAAAAATATAATTCATTTTACGGAAAATATTTTCCGGAAAACGTTTTTTAGAAATGTAATTTATTTTCCAGAATTCAAATTCCAGTAATTCATTTTCTAGTAATTCATTTTCCAGAAAACCAATTACAACCAAACAAACAGACGTTACGTTCATTTTAACAGCTCAAACATTTCCTCATAGAAATCTGTAACTAATTACGTTCCTTTTGAACGAGGTGTTCGGATGCATCCTTCATTCCTCAGCCTTTCTCCATTCCATACCAGTGTCCCGAAAGTGTGGTCAAATTATTAACCAATCTTGAATTCAGGACCCGTTTGAAATATTCTAAAAATTCGAGGGTTAAAATTTTATTAAGAATTTTAATTATGGTTAAATCGAAACAAATTAAGAATATACAGGCCGCAGTTTTATTAATTCATTAAAAATGAGATCTAATTACCAAATCGTAATATATATAACAATATTAAATTGAATAAAATCTAAAATTTAAAGCTCGAATTTTGGACCTAGTTGAAATCTCCTACAAAATGGCATGACATGAAGGCAATTCCCTCTGAAACCTACCTTAAGCGTTGATCCACTATTCATATGATGGGTCAGGTCGATTTGGAATTCGAGTAAGATAGTTAAGGACCGAAATTAACAAATAACTACTATTAGAAATAATTAATTTTCTAAATGAATACTTTTTAATTTTAATTCTATCATTTTAAAATATAATTATTTTATTATTTATGAAAACATTGTCACTCATAAACTAAATATGGTAAAATTCTAATAATAATAATTAATCTCGTTGTTGCCACAAATCTCAATTTCACTTTAATTAATTTTGTCATTTTATTTAGAAGTTCAACTGTACGACACAAACAATAGAAAATGGACACAACCGAAAATGTTATAAAAAACGTAAGGACCAGTTTGGTTTTAAAAAATATCGGCTATTTTCATTTTCATTTTTTAGAAAATACAAAACGTGTTTGGTTGTAAAACTAGAAAATGATTTCTAGAAAATGAAAAGAAAAATAAGTGAAGATATAAAAACATTAAAAAAATTCAGTATTTTCATTAAATTTGTTTTAAAAATCTGAAAAAATAATGAAACATGATATCTAGATTTTTAACTTAACTTACATAATTTAAAATTGTTTTGAAAATCTCAAAAATAATGAAACATGATATCTAGATTTTTAACTTAACTTACACAAGTTTAAATCATTCTAACAATAATTTTTTGATTTAATGATATTTGAAACCCTCAAACTTTTATAAAAAACCAATATGGTCTTTAAACTATTTTTTACATTCAATGTAGTCCTTAAATTAATTTTTTTAATAATTTAATTTTGTAGTATTTTTATATTTAATGTATTGAGCATTTTAATATTTTTTATATTTTATATTTTTAATCTAAATTAATTTTTAATTTTTTTAAAATTAAATAATTCATCAAACTTTTTAATATTAAATTAAGTACATCTACCACATCATCGTCCATCGAGTACTACCGCAACAGTATCATGAACTGCCACATCAAAATTTTAGATTACCATGTAATTTTATGAACTATCATGTAAACCTCGTGACTGTCAACGTTTGATTATTCTATTTAAAGGGTTAAATTAATTTTTTCTCTAAGTTTAAGGATCATATTTGGCGCAAAAAAATGTTCAGGGACTACATTAATTATTTTTTCCAAAAGTTTAAAGGTCTCAATTACTACTAAACATATTTTTTATGTTAATGACACTTTTTTGTGTATTGCTTATAAAAAAAATTGTGTATTTTTTAAATTTAATTTATGTCCAATATGCATTAATATTGTATTTTTATTATAAACTAAAATAAATTGTGTTATGGAATTTTTTTTATCAATTTTATTGTTTTATATTTACATAATTCACATGTTGATTTTATGTAATGATTTTTTTAATAATTATAGTATAATTTATTTTTTTAATAGCTATTTGTTTATTTCTATTTTAAAAATAATATACAATATACATTTTTACTATTTTAGTTTTGAATTAAAGTTTTTATTTATATTAACCAAATATGTTTTCTAATTTTCTAGAATCAAACGAACCCTAATATTTTTTTGTTGCCAATCGAAAATGTCATGAAAAAGTTTTATAATCAAAAAATGTTAAGAAAATATTACGCTTTTCATAACATTTTTTATTACGTTCATTCTCTGTCATTTTTTTTATCTTAAATTAGATTGTCTTCCTTATACACTCTTCATTTTATTCAATGGAAAAAGTGAGCGTGCTAGATACATTTGTCCATATATGAGAATATTTCGAGTTTTTGTATGTGCAAAAAAATCTTTATCGAAATATTCACCTATCAAAATCATATGTTGTGAAGAATGATAAAGTCTTAGAAAGTGGAATGAAAAAAAAAAACTCCGCATAAAAAGAAAACAAAAGCAAAACCTCCTCTAAATACCCCAAAATATATACATGGAGAAAAGGAAGTGCTACAACAATTTTTTGACTTTTATGAGCCCATAAACCCACTTTTTCCACCATTAAAGGAAAATGATAAAGGCGACTAAAAGAGTCGTTGAAGATAAAGGCTAAGCACACCCACCATTTCTTAAAACAATCCTTTGCCCTGAAACCCAAATTTCTTCCCAAGAGAATATGTTTGATCATGCCACAAAGCTGCCCAAATCTGATCTCTGTCTGTCGAAGTATGACTCCAGGGAGAAAAACACAGGTCAAAATTATAGGAGTTGGAACGCCGTGGGAGCTGATCAAACTTTCCTGACGGAAGAAGATGAGTCTGGAGTTTCCACTCCTCCTTTATGGGGAACTAATCCTTCAACGAGTGGAAAGAACATTAATTACCGATGTTTATCGCCGTCGTCTAAAGCTGAAGCCATCGCTCGAGGCCAAAGGGAGCTTATGGAAATGGTTAGCAGGATGCCCGAGTCTTGTTTCGAACTCACCTTGAAAGATCTTGTTGAACACCGGGATGCGGCTGTTGAATCCAAACAGGCTGAAGGGAGAGGCGCGTTCAATGAAGATGCATACAGCAAAGAGAAGGGGAAGAAAAAACCGCAAATGAATAGAAGTGCGAGCATAGATAATGAAGGGTTTCTTCTGAAAATGGTGTTTCCATTTTCCTTAGGGTCAAAGTCCAAGAACAAGAACAAGAAGAAGATGAAGGGAAATGGTTCAAACGTAAATTATAACCCCTCTAGTGTTTCTCTGAAGCCAACAATATCAGATGAACCTGGTAAGAGCACAGATAAAGAGTGGTGGAAGAAGAGATGGGGGTCAAGCGAAAGTGACAGCGGTGCATCCAATATAAACAGTGGAATCACCAAAAGCAGCCGTAGCAGCAGCACCGGTAGCAGCAACAGCTGCGGGAGCGTTAGCAATACCAGCCGCAGGTATGTTAAATTGCTAAAACTGAGAATTATTTCATGTTTTTAGACTTAAGTTTCTTAAAGGAAGCAGAGGAACTTTTGCTGTAAATGCAGTCACTGGCCTTATTGTTAAGTAGTACTAATATTTAATTCAGTTTGAAAACTGTTGAAAAAAGTAAACAGATGGAAATTTATCTACTTTAAATTTCCAGTTCACAAGTCCTGGTTAAAGTAATATTTAGAGTTGAGGGTATCAATTAAACCTTGGGTTCTGTTCTTGTATTTGTGCAGGCATACCGGGAAGGGATGCTTGGCTTTCATCCAGGGATGGACATAGACGGGAACTGATAGGGGCAGCCATCGGCCTTGTTTGAAAATGGAGTTGAATGGGTAAATTATATTTCCAGGAATGCTAAATGCTTGCGTACAATAGATCGGATATTGTAAAGCCAGTGGAAATGAATCATGATTTTGTTTTACGCTAATTTGAAATGAGCAGAACAAATGATTTTAGTAGTGACAAAATGAACAGATATATGGGGAATCTGTGAATGAAACCTGTTACCGTAGCAATAAAATATAAACTGTGTTTATGTATATTTTTTCTTTTGAAAATAAAATAATCTAATCAAAATGTATAAAAATTAGCTAAAATGTTATTAAGCCTCATAAAAGTTTAAAAATTATATTTAAAATATATACGATTAATAATATTGTTTTATTATGTTCCGGATTATTATAAGTTACAAAATTGTCCTCTAATTATAGGGGTTACTTTGTTGAGTCTCTTGACTATTAAAATTTATAAAATGGTCATTCGGCTATTTATTATGTTCCAAACTCATCATTTTCTATTAAAAATTTGACGACATACTGAGTTATACATTAATATGTTAATTAAGATATAGTAAAATATGATCCCATAATCTTAAATTACTATCATATCCCAGTCATGTTAACATACAACTCAAATGATTGTTGATTTTTTAAAAGAAAAGGATGAGTTTTGTAACTATGAATAGTCTAGTGACTCAACAAAACAATTTTCTATAGTCGAAGGATCATTTTGTAACATTTAATAATCAAGAGATTACATAAAAAGTGGTATCCTATAGTCAGGTCAGTAGACCATTTGTATACTTTACCCTAGAATCAAACGAGAGATACTTTAGTAGTTTTAGTAGTAGAAATTTAAAATTAAGGGTAAAATATGCATTGAGTACCTCAACTATCAGTTTTAGTACCTAAACTTTCAATTTTTTAAAATTATACCTAAAGTTTAATTTTTTGTTTCCAGCTGTTAAATACTTAACATGTTTAGTGCCTAAACTTTCAAAAAAAAAATCAAAACTTAAAGTTAAATTTTTAATGGGTTACTAAAATAAAACAAAAACTAAACTTTAGGTATAGTTTTAAAAAATTAAAAGTTTACGTACTAAAACGGACTAAAACTAATGGTTTAGGTAGTAAACACATAAATTACCAAAAAATTAAATCCAAATATTGGATTATTATTATATGTTGGTACAATATATATAACTTTTTGTGTTTATTCGCTGTGTGTGTAGGGCAAGATTCTTCTACATAATGTAAAACTCTTTTAGTTTTACATAGATTTAGGATCGTTGAATGAGTGAAAACAAATGACTGAGATTAAAAATAGAAAATTTGAAGATATTTACTAGAAAAAAAACAAGGAGTCAATCTCAGTCATATGTTTTTACTCATCCAACGATCCTAAATATGTGTCAAACTAAAGAATTTTACATTATGTAAGTGAATCTTAACCCTTCTCTCTCTATATAAGTCATGATTATGTAATATCATACTCACACTATTACATTACTCGCAACAACAAAAATTTTGTTACATTGTCATTCTTAATAAAATAATATAAGTTTAATGCAATTGTAAAATAATTAAGGGTAAAGTACATAAATGATCCCTCGACTATAATTTATTGTTTTATTATTTTCATTGACTATTAAAAGTTACAAAATAATCACTAGACTATTTATTATGTCCCAAACTCATCATTTTTCATTAAAAAATTGATGATATTCTAAGCTGAATGTTAATCTGTTTACTGTGATATGATAATATCTTGTCCTAGAATATCAAAAGACTATCACATCCCAATCATCATATTAACGTCCAACTTCGACAACTATCAAATTTTTAACTGAAAAAGAACGAATTTGGAACATAATAAATAGTCGGGTGATCATTTTGTAATTTTTAATAATTGAGGGACTTAATAAAGTAACTAGGTAAAATAAGTTTAATGCAAGTGTAAAATAATTAAGGGTAAAGTACATAAATGATCCCTCGACTATAAGGTACTATTTTATTAAGTCCCTCGACTATTAAAAGTTACAAAATGATCACTAGACTATTCATTATACCCTAAACTCATCATTTTTCATTAAAAAATTGATGATATTCTAAGCTGAATGTTAACATGTTTATTGTGATATGATAATATTTGATCATAGAATCTTAAAAGACTATCACATCCCAGTCATTATATTAACGTCTAACTTCGACAACTATCAAATTTTTAACTAAAAAGGATGAATTTGGAACATAAGAAATAGTCGGGTGATCATTTTGTAATTTTTAATAATTGAAGGGCTTAATAGTTGGAGGATTATTTTGTAACTTTTAATAATCAAAGGACTTAATAGAGTAGTAGCCTATAATCGAGGGATCATTTGTGTACTTTACCCAATAATTAAATTAGAGAGTAAATCATTTTTTACTTGAAATGCCTGCCATTAAATAAACCAAACAAAGTACAACTGTCTCGCAAAATAAATAAACTGAAACTAAAAAACATCAAAAGAAAGCACCTTCATCAAAACAATCAGAAAACAAAAAGCAAAATAAAACCATGGCCGGCATATCTTCTTCTTGCATGTAATTGGAAACCATGAACGAGCGATTTGCAAGAAGAAAACGAAGAAACAAAATTCGAATCTAAGAGAGCAGCAACTCAACCCCTCGGAAGTCATCTAAGGAGGGTCCAGGTAGCGACGGTCCTCCGCCGCTTGAAGTTCCACTGCAGGAGGTGCTTCCTCAATTCAAAACCGATCGATTTCTCCAACCCCTCTTTTTTTGCTAAAATATGGGCCATCTGATTTCTATTTCTAGGGGTGTTGCAGAACGAACAGGCATGGAAACCAACCGCCCGTTGTCGAGCTTCCCAAATCAGTGCACTAATTTCCAAACGATTTGACTTCGATGATGAAATCTTCTCGATCACTATCTTCGAATCCCCCTCCACAATGACATTTTGAAATCCCAGATCCTGTGCAAAATCGATGGCATGAATCGCCGCCAAGCTTTACCCAAGAAAACAGAGGTAATTCTGGAAACCTTCCTTCTGTATGCACCTAGAATCAGCCCAAGGTTGTCACGAATGATGATACCTGACCATGCAACTTTTGATGCAAGTAATACATGAGCGTAAAAATTGATCTTTATAGCTGACTGAGGAAGAGCTCGCCATTGAACCACAGGGGAGTCGAGATTATTTCCCAATCGAGCATTGGCAGTGGAAAAATCGCTGCATTGGGAATGAATCAAGGTAAGAATATTTTCCTTTCTTAACATTTTTTCTTGATGTAAATGTACATTACGGGCATACCACAAGGCCCATATTGACACCTGAATCTCTGCATGTTTAGAACTTATATTGTTAGAAAATAGCCACCCTAGCCACTCCACCAAATTAGATTGCGAAATCACCCGTGACCATGAATAATTTAAATCCCTCCATACTGATTTTGCAAGGACGCAATCCCTTACCACATGTAAACCCAATTCCACTTCCATAGCACATCTCGGACACATTGGACTCTGAATCAAATGCCTAAAGTATAAATTCTGAGCAGTTGGAATGAGGTTCCTGGAAAAATGCCATACTTGTATTTTAATCTTCAATTGACATGAGGTAGCCCATATAGCATTATAAATCATTTTCTCTGACTGCGAGACCTTTACCTCCGGTAGCAGAAGTCGGTACCCGCTTCTAATAATGTACACCCCCGGTCTCTCCCCACTCTATACTCTACAATCTTCCTGTCTACTGCTTGCTAAAAGAATCTCCAAATTTATTAGCTTCCTTTGCCACAAATACCTCCCTAATTAACTCTTTCTTCCAGCCTCCCTGCCTCTCATCAATTAGATCGGCCACCATATTTATCAAATGTACATAGGAGGAAAGCACTCTATGAGTCACCCGATTGGGCAGCCAACAGTCATTCCAAACTGAGATGGCTTCTCCGGACCCCACCTTCCACCGCATCCCTTTTTGAAGCAAACCCTTTGCACTCCAAATACTTCACCATATATATGATGGGAAGAACCAAGATCCGAACAAAGAAAATCTCTTGAAGAATAATATTTTGCTCTTAAAACACGTCCAACCAATGAAGTAGGATTAGTTAATAATCCCTACCCCTGCTTTGCAAGTAAAGCAATGTTACACTTCGCCATATGCCGGAATCCGAAACCCCCATCCTCCTTATGCTGACAAAGGGCTTCCCACGTGCACCAGTGAATGCCTATCTTCGTTTCTGACTTTTGCCACTAAAACTTTACCATGATCCTTTCAAGTTCCAAGCAAAAGCTTTTTGGTAACAAGAAACAATTCATAACGAAGAGGGGAATCGCTTGAAGAACTGATTTAATGAATACCTTCTTACCCCCTTGAGAGAGAGCACGGACGCTCCAACTGCGAATATGACTGTGACATTTATCCAGCAAATAACTGAACGCCCCTCTTTTATTTCTCCCAACAATATCAGGCAGCCCCAAGTACTTTTCCGGGTTGGATGAACTAAACACATCCAGAATTCTTCGAACATCATTCCTATTTGTATCAATAACCTTAGAACTAAAGAAAACCCCTGACTTATCAAAATTGATTACCTGGCCTGAATACTGACCATGCTCTCTAAGTATCTCCTTTATTCCGAGCACCACCTGAGAATTCGCTTCTCCAAAAATTAAGTTATCATCGACAAAGAAAATGTGTGAGATTATCGGGTATACCGGTTAATCCTTATTCCTGTGAGAACCCAATTCGAAACCATCTTCCTCAATAGAGATAAGAGCCCCTCACTGCAAAATAAAAATAAGTACGGACTCAACGGGTCTCCCTGTTGAAGGACCCGCTGAGGCACAAAACTATCTCCGGTAACCCCATTAATAACCACAGAATAAGTAACAGAACAAACACAATTTTGAATCATATCAATCGATCCTCCCATTTTCTGAATAACAGACCACACGAAGCTCCACTCGACTCTGTTGTAGGCCTTACTCATATATAATTTCAGAGCAAAATAACCTTTTTGGCCCTCACGTTTCTTCAAAAAAGAATGGAGAATTTCATAAGCCACAATTATATTGTTAGAGATAAGCCTGCCTGGAATGAATGCACTATGTGCTTCATCAATACAGTCCCCAAGAATTCCTTGCATATGAATAACCAGCATCTTTGATATTATATTGTACAACACATTGCACAAGATAATTGATCTGAATTGGCTCAAATTTTTCACCTTATCCACCTTGGGAATTAACACAATATGCGTGTGATTTACCATACTAACATCCTACAACCCTGACAACACCCCAACACAAAACGCATCAATCTCTTCTCCAATCAAATGCCAGAATCTCTGATAAAATATTGCTATCATCTTCCCCTGCAGCCTTTAAAGTGCTCATAGATTTAACCGTTGTAGTGACATCATCATAAGTGACGGGTTTTAATAACAAAGTGTTCATGTCGGTTGTAATACTTTAGTGAATGACATCCAAAACACCATCCTCCATTGGCTCAGCTGAAGATGCGAACAAATCTTGAAAATAATTTTTAGCTTATTCCTCAATATCATGATCAGTATCCACTGTGTTCCCCCCATCCGATTCAAGAAACTCAATTTTGTGACAACGTTTGCGCTGAGAAGCAAACCTATGAAAAAACGTTGTGTTGTTATCGTCATTCTTCAACCAATTAGCCCTTGCCCTCTGTTCCTAATAGAGTTTCGACTTATCAGCTTCTAAATTCATTTGGAGTTTGGTATCCACCATATCCACCAAAATATCATCCGTAAGTTGTTGAGCTTCCAATTCCATCAGTCTTTTGTGCATGGCTTGTGTCGTGATTTTCTATACCGACATATATCTCTGAACCACTCGTCAAGTCCATGGAAAACATAACTAAGCTTAACTGGCACATCCCAGACCGCCTCGAGCCATAATTTCCTGAACCCATTCTCGCATGACTCCAACAACCAGGAAGCTTCAAATCGAAAATACCACCTTTGAGTAACCTTAGTATAAGTCATTGTGTTAAGAAAAAGCGATCAGTGATAAGAAAAGGAATGGACCATACGTCGCATAGAATATAGTGGAAATCGAATCTTCTAAGCATCATTGGCCAACCCCTATCCAATCTTTCCCGGATAAGAGTTTCCAAGCGTATACCACGCTCCCAAGCGATCCAATTACCAGTGAAACTGACGTCATATAAACCACAATCATCGAGAGTACTTTGAAAAGCTTCCATTTGCCGTTCACTTCGTATCATCCCTCCCTCTTTTTCATAGGAAAATAAAATTTCATTAAAGTCCCCCAACACTAGCCAAGGGATATCTGGCAAATTGTTCAACTGCCTCAATAGGTTCCACGACTCTGTTCTCCTTTGCTCCTCCGGGGCTCCATAAAAACCCGTGCATCTCCACTGGACACCGTCCGTATCAGAAACAAAAAGAACATCAATATGAGACTTAGAAAAAGACCGAAGCATAACCTGACAATCCGATCTCCAACCTAAACTTAAACCACCTCTAGTACCCACTGGGTCAACCTCAATACCAGAGAGTAACTTAATCATTAAAGAATTAAGTTTAATTCAAATTTATCACTCTACCTATAGTAACAAAATCTCCTTTTTAACTGTATTTCATAAATGAATTTTAGTAATCCTATAGATAGAGATACTTTAAAAAATATTTACGAAATATTTTATGGAAGAGTATTATATTTAAAAATAGTAAATAAACAAATAATTATAAAATAGAGTGATAAAAATACAAAACTTGTATGCAACAGTTATTAGTCTTAGGTGTGATTCTTGATTTTTTTGGCATAATAGGGTAGAACCAAAAAAAAAATCCAACAGTGATATGTGAAATTTTTTTAGAGATCTATGACATTTGCTACAGTGAATGGAACTCGTCACGTTGAGGTGACGAATTCCAATAAAAATATTTTTATTCAAATTTTTACCCTCGTGTGATAAAATTTAATAAAAATTATATTTTATTAAACTCGTCACCTCAAAATAACGAGTTTAAATAAAAAATATTTATTGGAATTCGTCGTCTCGACTTGACGAGTTTCATGAACACTATAAAAATACCGTAAATCTAAAAATAAATTTTTACTTACCTTATTTTCCTAAACAATTTACCCCGTTTACCATATTGAAAAAGAAAACCGTGATTCTTATGTATTAATTTTTATGTAAAAAATATATAGTTGGACAATCAAATTATATTTGATTATGTTTATGGAAGAAATGGTACTAGAGAAAGTAAATGGTCCAATAATCTGTTCACTTCAAAAGAAGCAAAGGCCACATACGACCAAAAAGAAGAAAGGGAAGGCCACTTGGTTCAAGGCCGACCTACACATAAAGTGCCCACTTTAATATTAATTTGGGGAGTATTTTTTGCTTTTTGTTTCGGGACAAATTTTATATGCATTGTTTTTTAATATTTTAAAACAAATCAAAACTGATAAATGATGAATCCTTGTGAAAATGGCAACAATACCCATATCTACTCTCCTACCTTATGACCACGTGTTGAGAACATACAAGAGGATTTCTATTTCAGTTCACTTTAATCTCATATGTGGATCCAATTACGTTCTTTTCCACATTTATTTCTCATCAGTTCTTCATATTTATTTTAATTAATTATACCATCTACCATACACCCAAAAGAAAGAAAACCGAAAAAAAAGAAACCTTTTGTTGTTAACTTATTATTAATTTGGTTTAACTACATAGATGATCACTTATATTTGTGTTTTATTCACTTTTGGTTACTGATTTCAAAAAACATAAGATATGATCATTTTCGTTTTTATTTAATTAAGATATGATCACTTTCATTTTTATTTAATTATGATGTGGTCATCACCGGTTAATTGATGTTAACAATTAACATAATATGTGAAGTGATAGTTGATATAATCACACATTTGATCCATATTATTTACATATTCTACCAATTGAATCATATATTATTTACATATTCTATCAATTTAATCATACTTTTAAATAAATTTTAACATAAAATATTTTTTTTTAAAATAAAATATTTTTAAATTAAGTTAATGATAAAATATATTTAATAAGTTAATATAATAATATTTTTAAGTTAATATATATAAAATATTATGAATTTAAGCATTTATAAACTAAGATACAAAATATATACACCGTGTTGTCTATTTTAGACCGAACAATGGTCTTAGCTTAATGGTTGGATACATGTTTAGTTTCCTAAATAACCAATGTTTGAATCTTTTTTGCTTCAATTTGTTTACCTTTGTTTTCTTTCAACCAGATGGTGACACCTGCCACTCTTTGATTGATGAAAATAAATATATTAAAATTAAAATAAAGTTAGTCATTCAATCGAATTATAACGCGTGACATGACATGTGACATCATTTGTTTGGAGGATTAAATTTATTTTAATGTATTAAAAGTATGACTAAATTGAGAGAATATGTAAATAATATGGATCAAATGTGTGATTATATCAAAATATTTAATTGTTGTTATCTCGAAGTGACCACTAGAGGTGGCAATCGGGTGGAAAAAATCGAAAACCGTGTGGATCCGAACCGACGAGGATGGGGACTAACCGAAATCTTCATCAACGGGGATGGGATTGGAGAAGTTTTATCCTGAAGCTTAAATGGGGATGGGGATGGAGATTGCTATATACAAACCGTGGGGATAACCAAATTGTACCCGTGTGAATAACTTGGAGATCCCCAAAAAATATCCGTAGAGATCCTCGATATTTTACAAAATTTTAAAAATATATTTATAGTCATTTACCTATATATCCTTAATATATATTTTAATAAAAGTTATTTATGATTAAAAAAAAACCCAACTATATATATTCTAATCCGCAATGGTTAAAATTGTACATATACATTAGGTGTTAGATGAATATGACGTTTGAAACTTTCATATTATATATAGAGACCAATTTGAGACAATATGATATAACTTACAAGTTTTAGGTGTTATATGGATTTAAAAAATGTTTGTTTAATTTTTGGGATGGAGATTAACCGAAGTCCGTAGGGATCCGTAGGGGATGATTAGGGGATAAAAAAATCCCTGAAAACATATAATGTGGATTCTCCAAAACTGTACCCGCAAGTGTTGAGGACAAAATGGGTAATGCAAACCCGTTCCCGCCACGCCCCGTTGCCACTCCTAGTGACCACATCTTAATCAAATAAAAACAAAAGTGATCATATCTTATTTTTTTGAAATCAGTGACCAAAAGTGGATAAAACACGAACATAAGTGATCATTTGTGTAGTTAACCCTATTAATTTCACTGGCGAATTAGCGCAAAATATCACCAGTAACCATTGCCAACCACGTAAGAAATTGTACGAACCAAGAGCTCTTCTAGGACGTTGTCGGCATGAACCAAAGTTCTGGTGTATCATCGGCTTTGAACCGTGGACGGCCGATTTCTAATTGGAATCGGAGATATCAGAATCATAGATTTAAATATCGGTGGATCGCGGCTAATTATGACAATAACGGGTTGCTGCTTTTACCATTGTTTCTAACTTAGGAAAAAAACAGTTTCTTTTTAAAATAATAAAAAAATTACGACAACAATACCTGCAGTAATGTCTGTTATGTACACAAACACAATGAACGCAGTATAATTGAAAATGCGACCATAACAACAATTTAAATCCATGAGGTCAGATCAGAATCCATTGTCATGGAACTTGGCTACCCTTTTCTGATCGACAATCTCCATGTCGATCGCGTTGCGTGATAACTGACAAATATTGCTGACAACCATTACAGCTGGACTATAACCTCGTGTTTAAACTTTTGTTTTTTCTTTCAGGCCCTTACGTACAGAGTAGGACACAATTCCATATCTGATGATTCAACCAAGTATCGCCAGTTTGATGAAATTGTTCACTGGAAAAATGTCAGGAACCCTGTGAACAGATTTAGAAATTGGGTTCAAACTTATGGCTGGTGGAGTGAACAACAAAAAACTCAGCTCCGAAACAGTGTGAGGAAACAACTGATCAGTTCATTAATCGGTTTGATCGCAAGAATTTGTATTTTTTGCTTCATAGTTCTAATGCGTTAGAAAAAAATTAGTGCAGTTATTGGAAGCAATTCAGGTGGCAGAGAAAACAGAGAAGCCTCCACTTTTAGAGATGTCCACTATCAAACCTTGAGGAACAAGAGAAAAATCTCAGGGAAACTATCATCAGACATCCAAATGATTACCTTTCTGATATTTCTGTCTAGATTTTTTTTTCACCTTAAAAAGATTGTTTTCTCAATGTTTGTTTGATGAAGCTGATGTTTCAGTCTCAATTCTCAAAACTTGTGGTATGTACATAGGTATTTTGATGATGTCGATGAAGCATTTTGCTGGTTTAGTGTATGTGAATTTGACATTGTTGAAATACAATAATATAAGCATATAAAACACTTGTAATAGTCCATACTAATAAAAAAAAAGACAAGCAAATTTTGCCAAAACCTTGAAATTAATGTTGTATCTTCAGATTGTTACAAACGACACATCTTTAATTTTCTGGTAAAGTCATATCGCATATCCGAAAAGTATATCTCCTTCGATATGCTCAACAATGTTCCCAATATATTCTCATCCAAATCCAATGCCTCCACACACACAGTACTAGACGAAAGAAGAATAAAAATAGGAACCCTTCAACAAGTCACAACTCCCATCTCCAACCCTTCATTTCACCATCGCATGTAAGGTAAGCTATAATGGGGACAACTCCTTCTTCACCATCGCATGTTGTTATGGCATTCGATGCAACCAAGGATCATAGCGAACGGGAGCTCCGAATCACCATCAATAATCTACGAGTAAGAGGTGACATTTTACGAGTCGGGGACACACTTCTTATGCTTGGAGTTCTGCACAGAGTCACTCACCCTAGTAAGTGCATGTCTTAAATAATTTCTCCTTCATTCAACATGTCAACTCACATGTTGCCTTTATGTTCCCTTGTCTTCTGTTCCTTCTCTGGGCTGGTGTAGTGGGTTACCAGAGCAAAGCATGTCCCGAATCTTTCGGGGTAATAAGCATCCGCGCCATGGTGGAAGAAATCTCAAAGAAGATCGATGCATATGTTAATATGCTTCAACAAAGTGCAGAAGATTGTGAAAACCAAGGAGTAAAATTTCTGAATTCTGAGCCCCCACTTATTTCATAGTGCTTTATGTTGGTAATATAGCATATCAATTTTCATGTATAGGTAAGCATTGAAGTTAAAATCACAGCTGGATTTCCCATAAAGAATGTTATAGTACAAGAGGTGATATCCTCTAATGCAGCATGGGTTGTGCTTGATAGGTAAATATTTTGTATTCTGCATACATGGGATCATCCTTTCTGTGTTCCTCTCACCATGACTTACAATCTTAACAGGCACCTTCGACGGGACTTGAAGTTATATGTTAAGCAGATACTGACGCCAGACAGAATAGTGATTATCCTGTAGGCTAGCTCCGACAGACGATTCACAAGAGAAAATTCGCCCAAAAACCAGAGAAAAAAAAGTCTCTAGGGTTTAATAAAATATTATAAAATCAATAACTGTGAAAAGCAGTCCACAAGCCGGACTGTTATAGCTAAAAAAATCGTCTTTATTCGAATTTTGCCAAAAATAGCAAAAATCGTATTTATTCGAATTTTGCCAAAAATAGCAAAATCCCGAAAATCACTCTAAATTGAAATTCGAAATAAAATAAGCAATCTCCCAAAAATCCGGTCTAAATCGGATTTAAATTGACTTCCTAATTAACAATCGAAATATTACCATAAATAGTAAAAAATAACTAAATCTAGTGATTCGGAGGGGAAAACGGCAGAATTTGAGGTTGAAAAAAAGGCCACATTGAGCGTAGCTCAATGTGGAGAGCGTGCGCGTCGAAAAGAGCTTTCCGGATTGGGGTCTTATGCGCGATTCTGACACCTGTAGCCAAAGTTATGGCCAAAAGACTGAAACATACTCAAAACGACCCCAATAAGGAACATGTCACAATCAATTCCCGCCTTTGCGCTGATCTGCCAACTCATGGTATCTCAGCGCCATCAACGTGCAATCTGACAGCTCAGCATCATCTGTCTCAGATCCCCCTGCATCAGTCGCCCCGGGTTGGAAAGAACTCGTCCTCGAGTTCAGAGTAGTGTCATCAGGATCCACAAAACAATGACTCAGGTGCTTCACATTAAAGACATCAGAAGTCTTCAAGTGACTGGGAAGTCGCAACCTGTAAGCATTATCATTGATCTTCTGCACGACCTCACAAGGTCCAATCTTCCGATCCTTAAGCTTATTATACTCACCAACAGGAAAACGATCACGAGTTAATACAGCCCAAACAAAATCACCAACATCAAAAGTACCTGACGACGATGATTGTCGACCCGAGTCTTGTACTTGGTATTGCTCTCATGAATGGTCTGTTTCACCTGCTCATGGATACCCCGAAGATACTTTGCCATCTCATCTGCTTTAGGACTGAAACGTCCTATACGTGGAATAGGGGCTAAGTCCAACACCCCGGATGGGTTCTGACCATAGACAATCTCAAATGGGCTTAAACCTGTGGTTCTGTTTTTTGATCTGTTGTAGGCAAATTCTGCCTGAGGCAATGCCAAATCCCACTGCTTCGGCTTCGTTCCTGCCAAACACCTTAAAAGGTTTCCCAAACTTCGGTTCACCACCTCAGTCTGGCCATCCGTCTGGGGGTGGTAGGCGCTACTGAAATTCAACTGCGTTCCCAGTTTCCCCCACAGGCTCTTCCAGAAATGACTGATGAACTTAGTATCACGATCTGAAGTGATGGATCGAGGAACACCATGTAAACGCACAATCTCCTTGAAATAGAGATGGGCAATCCGGTCAGCATCCATAGTCTTTCTGCAAGCTACAAAATGAGCCATCTTGGAAAACCTGTCAACCACAACAAAGATAGAATCAGAGGCCCTTTGGGTGCGGGGTAAGCCTAGTACAAAATCCATGCTGACATCGAACCAAGGAGCTTCAGGAACAGGTAAGGGAGTGTACAATCCCGCATTGGTGAGAACTCCCTTAGATCGCTGGCACACATAACAACGGTCCACATAATGGGCCACATCACTAGTCAACTTGGGCCAATAAAATTCAGAAGAGATAAGGGCCAATGTCTTATCTCGGCCAAAGTGTCCCTCATTATGGAGTTCACTTATAATTTGCTGCCTCAATGAACAATCTGGAATGCACAATTGTAATCCACGAAACAGATACCCATTATGCAAAACAAAATCATGACGGTGACCCTCAGTTACCTCCTGAAATATCCTTCCAAAGGAAGGATCAGCTGCATACATATCTGTGAACGTCTCAAATCCTGCAACTTTAGTACTCATGGTGGTGAGAAGTAAGGTACGACGGCTCAGGGCATCTGCGACGCGGTTCAAACTCCCTGCTTGGTGCCTCAGCGTAAAAGTGAATTCTTGCAAGTATGCTACCCACTTGGCATGACGTCTACTCAGCTTGTGTTGGCCATTGATGTACTTCAAGGCCTCATGATCGGTAAACAGAATAAACTCCTTCTGTACTAGGTAGTGACGCCAATGCTTCAGGGACTGAACTATGGCATAGAACTCCAGATCATAAGTGGAATAATTTTTCTTTGATCCCGATAGCTTCTCACTGAAAAAAGCAACCGGACGACCTGCCTGACTCAGAACACCACCAATGCCAACGCCAGATGCATCACAATTTACCTCGAACACTTTGTCAAAATCTGGAAGTGCCAAAACTGGAGCCTCGGTCATCTTCTGCTTGACCAGTTGAAAACTGGCCTCTGCCTCCTCAGACCACTGAAAATCACGCCCCTTGAGGCACTCTGTGATAGGGGCGATCAGAGTACTGAAATTTCTAATGAATCGACGGTAAAAAGACGCCAAGCCATGGAAACTTCGGATGTCATGTAATGTTCTTGGTCTGGGCCACTCCAAGACTGCATCTATTTTTGACTGATCTGCATGAACACCATCAGTAGACACAACAAAACCAAGAAAAGTCACAGAAGTAGTGAAGAAAGAACACTTCTTTTGATTGACAAACAAGCACTCCGTTTTCAGCATCTCAAAAACAGCACGGAAGTGATCGAAGTGTGAAGTCCATGTCGGACTATAAACGAGGATATCATCGAAGTAAACTACAACAAATTTCCCCATAAAAGGCCGCAAGACCTGATGCATAAATCTCATGAATGTACTGGGCGCATTGGATAACCCAAAAGGCATGACCATCCACTCATACAACCCTTGTGGCGTTTTAAACGCCGTCTTCCACTCATCTCCAGGCCTTATTCTGATTTGGTGGTAGCCGCTCTTAAGGTCAATTTTTGAGAAGATCTTAGAACCAGATAGCTGATCCAACATATCATCTAGACGGGGAATTGGAAACCGGTACTTCACTGTAATTCTGTTGATCGCTCGGCTGTCAACACACATACGCCAAGAACCATCTTTCTTTGGCACTAACAGAGCAGGGACTGCACATGGGCTCATACTCTCTCGGATATAGCCCCTCTCCAACAACTCTTCCACCTGTCGCTGCAACTCTTCGGCCTCCTTGGGACTGAGGCGATATGCTGGTCGATTTGGCAAACTTGACCCAGGAACAAGGTCAATTTGATGCTGAATATCCCTCATAGGTGGTAGTCCAGGAGGAAGATCCTCTGGCATCAAGTTAGAGAATTCTGCTAGCAACCGCTGCACCTCTACTGGTAAATCTGTATCCACGTCTACTGCATTGTTCTCGCAAGGTAGCAAGGCATAGACCACGTCGCCATGCTCAATCTCATCTAAAAACCTGGACATAGAAAGCAGATTAGTATTATGGGTTACTGGGGTAGGAGTAAGTCCTTCCCGCCGGGGTGCCAACACAATCTTTTTTCCCTTGATGCTAAGGGAATATGTATTCTTCCGTCCATCATGAATGACACTGCGATCATACTGCCAAGGTCGACCCAACAATATATGACACGCATCCATAGACACAACATCACACCAGGCATTATCAAATATTTTCTACCAATTGAAAAAGACACCAGGCATCGCCTATCAACTGTTACCTCACTGTCTTTATTTAGCCATGACAACTTGTATGGCTTAGGATGACGATCCGTCTTCAACTGCAATTTCTGGACAACCTCCTCGGACACTACATTCTCACAACTGCCGCTGTCAATGATCATTTTGCAGACTTTATCTGCAACTGTGCAAGTCGTGTGGAAAATATTGGTTCTCAACCAATCGTCCCCTGAATCGCCCTTGGGGGTAAGTAGACTCTTGCGAACGACCAGAGTCTCATGACCATCTCCATATAGCACATCATCAGTCTCATCATCGTCATACACGG